GCTTTTAGGTATAAAATAAGACAATCCGGCTTACAATTGAGTGGGAGATTTATTTTCCTCATATGTAGTTATTTTAGGTATAACAAGATAAGTCGATTAAGAATTGAGCACGATAATTTTCTCTCACATATGTTAAATTTACTACTGAATGACAAGTTATTATTTAACTAATATGCGTTAATTTTAATATTTATTGTATTCGCTTAAACTTTATGTCACTCACTAATTGTACTCACTTTTTTAGAATATAATGTAATTTAAAATTAATCTAATCATGAAAATGAATAAGTAGCAAATTCTAATTAGTAGTGTCAATTAATTTTTCCTAATATACTCTTCATTGAATATATATTGTATGAGCTTATATTTTATGGTATTAGCATATTGAACTACTATTATTTTTCGAAAATGTAGAATCCTAAGAAGTTGTTTTTATTTTAATATTTAATTAAATCATGAGTAAATATATATATGCACCAATTGCTCTTTCCCGTGTGTATGCACGAGTACTATACTAGTTATTTGTAAAGTTGGAGGATTTAGAGTTTTTTTCGAATTAATGCTAATTAATTAATTACGAAAATAATGTTGGGTTAAAAGTATTTATGGATCTACTGCTGGGTTTAACCGTGGTAGGGGTAAGTCGCCCAACGGTTGGGCGACTTATAAGTCGCCAAACCATTTGGTGACTTATAAGTCGCCCAACCGTTAAGCGACTTACCCCTTAAACATAAGTCGGGTTCGGGCAGAACGCGACATTTCCCCCAAATCCCCAAAACTCCCAAACCCTCTGCAGCTCCCCCGACTCCGGCGAAGTGCGGCGACCCCCCCCCCCCCCCCCCCACTCCGGCAAAGGTTAATCTCCGGCGAGCGATGACAAGGCCTCCATATCTTGTCAATACTACTTTCCTTTCATCTTCTTCAACACTCTAGGTAAACAAATATCTCCAATTTATCTCATTTTTCATTTTACGGTTTAGAATATAGAAAATTGGAATTTGTGAATTAGGAATTCATTTGTGAATTGATTTGTTGTGTAATGTGAATATGTATGAAGTGTTGTATGTTGATGTTGAATTCATTGTTATATGATTTTTTTTTGAACTTTGTTATGTAATGTAGATTTGGAGGTATGAATTGAAGTTTGTTAAATTTTTGAACTTTATTAATGCTAAAAAAATTAAGGTGAGATAACAAAGAAATCTTCATTTAAATCCACGCGTATTAACGAATTAAGAGTGGAAATGACAATTTAAACTTTATTAATGCTAAAAAAATTAAGGTGCGATGAGTTCTTCGAGTGTTGAGTCCTGGTTGATGGATGCAACAAGGCGAATTAAAAGGTGTGACTGTGGACTCCAAGCACCAGTGTGGACTGCTACAACAGACAAAAACAGGGGAAAAGATTTTATGGGTGTGGTCGTTTCTTGAGTGGTCAAAAGTGCAATTTCTTTGAATGGGTTGAGGATGAACAATGTGGCACTTGCCTGAGACGAATAGAGACCTTGCTTCAGAAGATTACCAGTGTTGAAGAGAATTTCCGAATGAAAGAATTAGAGATGCAAGCTGAAATCAAGTGTTGTGTTCATGGAATTGGTCTTTTGAAACTCCAAAATATGGAAGATGAACTCAAGATGTCAAAGAAAGGCAATGGGACTTTCTCCTGGAATGTAGTGTGGTTCGGGTTGTTTGTTATCGTCTTGCTGGGAAGTAGGATATATTAGCAGATGTTGTATTGTTGTAATGAAGTGTTTGTTCGGGTTGGTTGTATTGTTGTAATGAAGATTATGAATTTGGTTTTCAAGCTTATGGTCTTTTTGAAGCATAACACCTGTATTGAAATGTAGACTTAAATTTTGGTATTTTTATATTGAAATGAGAGTTGTTTGTGAATTTTGACTTTTGGATATATTTGTTTGTAGTTTTTTCTATTGAAAATTTGAATGTGTATATTGAAAATTCTTTTTTTTAAATTAATAAAATGGATGATTAAAAAAGAGAACTAGTATAATATTAAAAATTAACTAATACGATTTTAATTGTTAGTAGACATGGATGTGACAGCGGATCCTGG